AGATAGATAGATAGATAGATAGATAGATAGATAGATAACTCCAAAAATAACTCCAACATTAACTTGTGTTCAAAAGGTCTTGCCCTTGGCGCTCATATGACCTTATGCAGTTGCGAGCGCCGTAAAACCTCTGCTAAAACCAACAAAAGTCTTGCTCCACTGACCACTGGTTATTTTCCCGGACGTGTTGCTGAAGTCGATGCGGAGGAACTTTGCGAAACGGCTGGAGTTGTTGTTGAGTTTGGTGCGTGCGTTACCAAACGCTTCCAGGAGAGGGTTCACCTGGCGGGGTAGAGGGGTAGATGATGATGGTGGCAATGACAGCAGCAACAGCAACAACAATAACATAACAACGACAACAAACGCTTCCAGGAGAGGGTTCACCTGGCGGGGTAGAGGGGTAGATGATGATGACAATGACAGCAGCAGCAACAACAACAACAACAACAGTACCAATAACAGCTAAGACAACAACAATAGCAAAAACAGCAACAACAACAACAACTACTACAGCAGCAGTAACAACAAAAACGACAACAACAATAACCACAACGATAGCAACAAAAACTATCTAGATCTACCGGAGGAATCTCACCAGAACAGCGGTTTATCTACTTTGTAATCTACCCAGGACAGTTACATTTACCTAAGGCAACTCATTTGTACTATTTTCTTTTACCTAAGAAATTTCATCTGTGTAATTTAACTTTTACAGCTTAAATCAACCTGATTAACTTTGCATTTACCTGAGAAACAACTCACCTGTATTACTTTACACCTGAGACAACTCACCTGTATAAATTTTCACCTGACACAACTCTCCTGTACAACTTTCTATTTACATGAGAAACAACTTTATACCTGAGACAACTTAACTGTATAACTTTCCGTTTCTAACCTGTATAACTTTCTATTTACCTGACACAACTCACCTGTATAACTTTACACATTAGACAACTCACCTGTATAACTTTACACATTACACAACTCACCTGTACAACTTAACACCTGAGAAACAATTTACCTGTATGATTTTTCATTTACCTGAGAAACAACTCACCTGTATAACTTTACACCTGAGACAACTCACCTGTATGACTTTACACCTCAGGAACAACTCACCTGTATGACTTTCTATTTACCTGAGAAACAACTCACCTGTATAACTTAACACCTGAGACAACTCACCTGTATAACCTTACACCTGAGAAACAACTCACCTGTATAACCTTACATCTGAGAAACAACTCACCTGTATAACCTTACACCTGAGAAACAACTCACCTGTGTAACTTTACACTTGAGACAACTCACCTGTATGACTTTCCACCTGACACCACTCACCTGTAAAACCTTACACCTAAGAAACCACTCACCTGTATGACTTTCTCCTCCAGGTTGTCCAGCTCGCTCCCGCCAACGGCCATGAGGTGCCTGA